TGGCTCCAACCCCCAGGCTGAGCATTCAGCACACGGGACTGAGAACGCTTCCTTCCTGGAGTGTGCATTTCGGAAAGCACCGGCCTACAATTTGTAAGAGGCTGACACACAGATTAGTAAATAATTAGATAACTTCGAATAATGTCCCAAGAATGAGTCACAATGCGATGTTTCTGGAAAGATTACAAAACAACTCATCCATCCTCAGGACCACAGCAACAGCAGCAACCACAGGGAGAGGGTGGCAAGTAGAATTCAGCCCCGGGGTTGTAATTAGCTGCCCCCCACCCAGGAAAACACGAGCTCCCTCCCGGTAAGCACAGAGCTGTCTGACTGGTTCCCATCACACCTGCATGTCTAGGTGTGAGAGCCCATTGGGCCAGCCATCCTCGTTGTCTGTTTTCGTTAGTTTTCCTGTAGCTATGATAGAATATTCTGACAAAATCAGTTTAAGGCAGAAAGTTTATCCTAGCCCATGGGGGCAGATTTCAGTCCCTCACTGCAGGAAAGTCAAGGCATCTGGGGTTCAAAGCAAATGGTTAGGGGAGCAGAGAATGCATGTGTGTGTGTGTGTTCGGCTCACTTTCACGCCTTTCAAAAGGGTTTATTTTCTTTTTATTTATGTGTATGTGCGTGTGCATAAACTCCTGGAGGCCAGAAATGGACACTGAATCCCCTGCAGCTGGAGGTACAGGTACCTGCGAGCTGTCTCTCTCAGGTGCTGGGAGCCGAACTCTGATCCTCTGCAAGATCAGCAAGGGGCCTTAACACATTCTCTGTTGATGTCAGGGTTCTAAGGAGTACATCACGGCTCACTGCATCGTGACTGATACCCAGAGCTTTGGAAAAGTAGGTAGGGACTGCTGAGATCATAGTATTCTACAACCTGCCTTTCCCATGCCACAAACATCTTGCCAGCCGACCTCATGGCTACCAACCTTACAGTCTACGATGGCAAAGTCCAGGGGTCACTTCATTGGCCATTTTGTTCAGCTAATCCATCAGGTGGCCGACACACGTATTCTAAGGTCAGTCTGTAATGACTTCTCTTTTCTTTTTGCCACCGATGAGCACTTTTGCTGGCAAATGTGTAATATGATTAAGTGCTGGTGGCTTTATTAAAGAGAAAGCAGTACTAGCACATGCTTGCATGCTTTCTGTCACTCGCCCGTGACATCCCCGCTGCACTGCTTTGTGTCTCTGCCACCAAGGCCATCGACAGCTAGAGACCTGTGGCCCAGCTCAGGTATTTCATTCCAGCAACAACTCCAGCTGATAGAAGAGGAAGCTAACTTTCCACAGTGAAATTGCTATGTCTTTCCAGACCAGGGAGATGCAATGAGAAAAGCCGCCTCACTAGAGACGCCGCAGGCCTTCCGTCTATCCCTGGACTCTGGACCATAGATAACCATCCTGCGGTGGGAAAGAACAGCCTGTTCTTATGAAGCACACACGGAAACACAGGTGTGCATGGTGATGAATTTTCAATTTTGCAGGAAGGTTGGACACATCCTGGGTGCCTGGATGTGAGCAGTGCTTTCTCAGGAACTGAGGCCTCAGACTCAGTTCTGAGGGAGCAGCTTTCTCTCCGCTTCCTGACTGGATAGTCTGTGTGGGACAGGCACGGTCCCCACGGTGATGGGCTGTACCCCAAACCAAGCCCCCCACAACCTTTCCCACCTCATGTCGCTTTGTCAGATGTCAGAGCAACAGGAGAAGAAAGGAATAGAGTAGGGCAGAGAGTTCAGGGAGGAAAAATATAGCAAATACTAAAAACCGATAAATCCCAATGTAGGTGCTCTCGTTTTAATAATGTACTTAAAATGTTGAAGTGTGCTGGGTGGTGGTGGCGTACACCTTTAACCCCAGCACTGTGGAGGCAGAGGCAGGCGGATCTCTGTGAGTTTGAGGTCAGCCTGGTCTACAGGGTGAGTTCCAGGACAGCCAGGACTGTTACACAGAGAAACCCTGTCTTGAAAAACAAAACCAACCAACCAAACAAACAAAGTTGAAATGTTCAGTTTGTATGAAATTATTTCAAACTAAGAAAAACATTAAAAACCCAGCGTGTAGGCATGGATCACTTTATTCTCCTTTCTGTTCCTTCTTGAACTTTGCTACCCTTTAGTGTGTGTGTGTGTAAAATGACAGCTGCACGGAAAAAAGGGCGGGGCCACGGAGCTCTGGGTGGAATGCTCTCCTGTCTCGCTGAAGGGCCTGTCTGTCTCCAGACGGTTCTGAGTCACTGTGCTGGCTGACCCTTGGGCATCCTGCGCTATTGGTGTGTTACCTGTCATCCAGCCTATGGCAGTGACCAAGGGCGGGCTGTTGGGGAAGGCTGGCCCGTACTCTTCACCAGGTGCAGGGACCTGCTGACAGACAAGTAGAGGAGCCTGCAGTGGTCGAGGCCCATGCTAGAATGTTCTAGGAGGCCTGCAGTGAAGGGTAGGTGGCGCGAAGCAAGCGCCTTCCTGACTGTTCTGTCCACCTGGGATTTTCAGGCAGCATCCACTGCACACTGTTGGCTGTGTAACTGGGAATGACAGCTGCATCGCTGTCCTCTTCAGATAAATCAGTCTGAGGACAGCCTGGGCTACATAGTGACTTCTCCCCTTCCCTGGATGACACAGCCAGCAGAGCAAGACCTGGAGTCGGAGGGAGGGGTAGAGAGTCTGGACTACAGTATTTTCCTTCAGAGAAAGAAAAGGGCCAACAGAATGACTCCCCTGGGCTGTCACAGCCACACAGGTGGAAGCGGTTAGACTCTCTCCCTCCAACTTCCAGCCTAGGGTCACAGTCCTCCACACCGTCACGTAAACAACCACCAACCCTACCTTTCATACTGAGCTGTGAACGTCAGATTCTCCTTGGGGAAAGCGGGTGACTCCCATTGTAGAATGTTCTTGAAGTTAATTGAATTCATCTTAACATTCTTAGGAGGTGGAATCATTCCTAGAGCTGAAAAAAAAATAAAGGGGAGGTGGGGAAAGACTGCAATGTTTTCCTCAAAAAGGAGATCAGCAAAATGACTACAGCCAATATTAGTCTCCCTGAGCCTCACCTTCAAATGTGGTGTGGGGGCCGGGGAGTATTAGCTAAGCTGAGGAGGCTATGTTTTGTCTGAAGCAATAAGGAGAAGAAATTTGGAGGTAGACGATAGTTGGGGACAGATGATGGTGGCGGAAATTTGAGTGGTAGGAATGGATAAGGAGTCAGGTGATTTCAGATCCAGTTTTATAAATATACACTCCATATAGACCTGATGGGGACCCGTCAGGGCTAATGGCCTTTTCTGGCTGATGGCCCTGGAGCCCTGGTTGGGGTGGGGGTGCACAGGCAGAGCAGGGAACCCAGGAGTCTCAAATCAGCTGCAACAGACTGGATCCACCATGGAGACTCAAGAAGGGTTATCAGGGAGACGTTTGTGTGAGTGAGCCTGAGGTCGCAAAGGGTATAGCCTTGGGCTAGGGTCAGACATTATTATTATCATTTTAGTTTTTACTAGAAAATTCTAAACCACTTATCCTGGAGTCATCAGAGATGAAGTGTGGCAGTAACTATTCAACACCAGTCTGCCAGGGACTCTCAAAATCTCATGATAAGGAAGGAGAGAAGAAAGAGGACCTCAAGCAGACCTCGCCTGAGGATGGGGAATCCCGAGAGCGCAGGGCCCAGAGAGACACACGCTGCTGAGAGTCTCCATAAGTTATTTGGGGGAGCCGAGGGGCAGAATTCAGATTTCAGGATGTGGAGGTGTGACGAGGAAGGCGTGGGGACGGGGAGCTGGCCCGGCAGAGGAGGGGGCAGAGGGAGGGTGTGGGCGGCTGGGGAGGACTCAGGGTTTGTCCCCGAGGATCGGGACAGACACCGCGGAGCGTCTGGGTCTTTCACAAAATTCGACTCTGTTAGTACTCTGGGGGGGGGGGGGGGGGGGGTGTCTGACAGCAGCTGTGCCCGCATCCCGCTTCAGTTTCCCGGCTGGACAGCCTGTAACCCGGCTGCGGGCTGGGGGTGATGGTAGTCCACCCAGGATCCAGACAGCGCAACCCCGCGTGTGCGCCTCCCGCCGCAACGAGGGGGTTACCTGCCAATGCTCCCTGCCGCACAGGGTCCCTTTCGGGGCGCCCACGGGACCGAGACTTGGGGACGCCCCGCCTCTGAGTTCCCAAGCCAGGAAACCTGCCCGCCCGGGACCCCTGCCCACCGAGCTCACCTGGCAGCAGCAGGAAGCCGCCCAGCCAGCCCACCACGCTCCGTGCCCAGGCCATGGCCCCGCGCCGCAGCCCCGCAGCCGGCAGCCGCCCGGGCCCTTCCGGGAACCTCCGCCGCGCAGCCAGGCCACACCCCTCGGCTCTCTCCGCCCGCAGCCCGCCGGGACCAGAGCTGCGCAGGTGGCCTCAAGCTAAAGGCACTAAGAAGCCAATCCGGGGTTACAGGGTCGTCCCCGCACCCGCCCTCATCCTCCGGTTCCCTCCCCACTTGAGTTTCTTTCTCTTTTCCCAGGTAGACGGAATCCGAAGAGATCCACCAGTCTCAGCTTCCCTAGTGCTGGGCACTTTCTTTTCTTAGTATCGCTTAGTGATTTTCCCTACCGAAGCATCACTTCTCCAAAGTCCTGTCCCCGAAACAAAAGGTGAATCAGAGCACCCCTCAGCACAGTTTCGGAATGCTTTAGTGCCCCTCCCCACCCCAAGGAGATGGCGCAAGGCCAAATTGTTCACTTTTTGGTAACATGTTTCTTACACAAGATTGCTGAGAAAGCTTTAATTTCCTCTTCTTAAACAGACCAGGTGGTGAGGTGGGAAAATGCACAGTAGGCTGGCTGTCTACATGTTGAGGAACACGTCACGTGGGGGGGGGGGCATCCCAGTAGGCCACCGCAGACTTAGAGAAAGACGGTATAATCTTGATAGGCCAGCAGAACCACAAATATGCTAAAGAAATACATTCCAGGTTGAGACACATTCTATAGAGAAATGACTCAAAAGACCACAGGCTGGTATGAAAAAGTATTTTTTTATTACCTCTGACAATCTTCAAACATACAAAATTAAAAAAAAATAAGTGCAAGCATTAAAAACTGTTTTCCAGCAATTATGCAAAGCTTCAAAGAAAAGCTGGGCGGCGAAGGAGGCTGGGTAAGAAGACAGATGTTCTCAGAGTGCAGAGATGGTTTGTGTACAGGGTCTCTCTCTCCTGTGAGATTTTATTAGGTCTTCTTTTGAATTGCTTTAGAAGAAGTCACATGAGTTACATCAGAAGCCTTTGAGATTGGATCCATGTAGTTTTCCCTTTCTGAATAGAAGGAAGATGTGAGAAACTGTCTTTTGGGGTGAGGAACAAGATGGGAGGGCCCCATCCTGGATGCCTCTGAGGCTCAGCACCTCCAAGGGTCTTTATCCCCTTCTTTCCAGCATTGGTCCCAGGCTTCTGGGACGGTGGAGATGACTTGACCCAGTCCCTTGACTTCATATATAAAGAAACGGGCCAGGCGGTGGTGGCACACGCCTTTAATCCCAGCACCCGGCAGGCATAGGCAGGCGGATCTCTGTGAGTTCGAGGCCAGCCTGGTCTACAAGAGCTAGTTCCAGGACAGGAACCAAAAAAAGCTACAGAGAAACTCTGTCTCGAAAATTAAAAAAAAAAAAAAAAAAAAAGAAAAGAAAGAAAGAAAGAGAAGCTCAAAGAGGTGAAGTAAAAATATGGCAGGGTGCTCGCCTGGCCTGCATGCTGCCCTGGGTTGAACCTTATGACAGCGCATTCCCGTAACCACAGCGCTGGCGAGGTGCAGGCAGGAAGATCAAAAGATCATCCTATATGAGAGACCTTGTCCAAATAAAACAAAATAAAATAAAAACCATACAGGAACCCCAAATCCATCCACTGGCTCTCCCTCCATGGCATTTAGAACTTTGATCACTGCGACTGTCGCTCCCAGCGACTGTCATCCAAATCTATACAGAGTACTTTAAAAACTGCCAAGTGCGCCCCTAACACTGGTATCCCCTGTTTGTTCTGAAGGCCTTGAAATGCTCGCTTTTGTTCTTAAAAACAAAAATCTTAAAATACAGTGGGCACTGAGATTTGCTCCTCCCCCTCCGCTTCGCCAGATGACTTTCTCTGGAGTCATCTGTAGGATCCTGGAATTAGTGACGTGGCTTTCCCCACCCCACTTTGCCGTGGAGGGCTTATTGGGTGGACGTGAATGACCGTCTCAGAGTGGACGGAACAGGCCGTGGCATCTGAGACGGGTCCAGACCTCGCTGGCTTCCTTTGCGTATATCGCCCCTTTCTCCCCACTGACGGGGTGCCTTTCCCCTTCCCTTTTGCCTGCTTTCAGGCTCATTCCTGAGCCTGGCTAAACACTTCTTGACCCGTTTTTCTTTCCTTTCCTCTTCCCCAGTTTAATCATTTCCTAGAAATGACACAGGAATGGGATGCCTTGGCTGCCTCTGAAAGCTGCACTGAACACTGTTCCCTGGGAAACATAACACATCCCCTCCAATAGCAGCGCTGAACAGGGCGTGGGAGGGTCATGCTCATGACCCATGTAAACAATATGGACCCCCAAACTGGGAATATGCACAAAGAAGGCCATCAGCAAGAATCACAAGGGTCTCCAGTTTCCTTGTCCCTCCCTCGCGGACACAGGGATCAAGGCAGGCCTTTATGAGAACCCTGTAGGTGTTCAGATCGAGCCAACCAGCCGCTTCTGAAATTATCTCATGATATAGCCATCCCCTAGGTCAGCATCAGAATCTGAGCTGTCAGTTGTTTCAGATGACTCATCTTCGGTCCACAGAACCTGGGAAGAGATGCCGGGTTGGGGCAGCTGTGTGCTGTCGCTGCCGGCCATCAGAAGGCCTGACTCTGTCCTGTGGGGAGCCTCGTCTAGGTGCCCTGTATCTTCTGCAAGAGAGAGGACCTCGGAGGCTTCCTCAGGGTCGTCGTGGAGAGCTCTCAAAAACACAGAGTTTAAGTTCACATTGAAGATAACTTTGTCCCCCGGCCCATTCACGGAGCTGCTGTCATCCCCGGGGAAAGAGTCCTGGATCCCCCTCTCTTTCCTCTCATAGGGGCCGCTCTGGTCTTCTGAGGGCCTGAGACCTGACCCCACCTCAGCCTCTGTGGGGAGTTCTGCCATAGCACCAGCTCTGGCTCCAGCTTCGTCGGATTCCTCGGCAGCAGAGTCCTCTTCAAGCTGGGCCTCCTGAGGGTTGGCTGAGGAGTCCGAGGAGGCCGGGTGCGGAAGCCTGCCCATCAGTCCGTGCGTGGTGTAACCCGTGGCGCTGGCTTTGGGCACCTCTTCCTCATCGCTGTCGCTTTCATCTCCGTAATCGTAGTTCCACACTTTCTTCTTTTTGTTTGTAGGAATGATCTCTAGCTTGTCCACTGCTTCGGATGGAGGCACTTCAGGGAAGATCCAGTATAAAATGCTATGGAGATTCTAGAAGGGGGAGGGCACAGGTGAGGGAGAGAGGAGAGAGAAAGGCCTTCACTCATATTAGCTCTTCAACAGATAAAGCTTAGCGTTGGCTGTGAAGGGATGTGGATGTGGGCATATAATAGCAGAAGCTGACGGTCATGCCGCACTTGCTAGTTGCTGGGCCCCACTCCTGTGTTTCCAAACCCACATGAGATGTCACAGCATTTGTGTGTCTCCTCTGTGCTCCCTCCTGGACACTTTCAACCACCTCGAGATTGCTTACAGAACTCAGTACGACACCAACGCTGTGTGAATGGAAGAGAGCATTGCTGAGGGAACACTGCCAAGAAAGAGTCTGGTTAGAAGCCCTGTGTGTTCTTGGGTGAAGCCTGGGGATGCTTCATTCTCTAAGTCCCTTTGCCTCACACGGGGATTGAGCACAGGGCTCTTTGTATGCTAAGCATACCCCGTGCTACTGGACACCCAGCCTCTAGACTTTCACACATCTAACTGTGTGTGGCATGAGGTAGAGAGGGATCCCATAGAGTTCCTCTAGCACAGCTAACACCATCAGCAGCCATGGTTCCCCCAGCAGATTGCACAGCTGACTGTCACCCAGCAGGCTTCTGTGTTAGGACCCGTGTTTCTGAGCTTCTCCTCCGATAGGCTTTTGTTTCTCTTTTCAGTAAGATTGGATCCTTTCCTGTGTGATGGTTATGCATGCTGTTTATTCGATTTATTTCTTAAATTAAAAAAAAAATGCTGCTCCTGTAATTCTATGGATTGTAGGGCTATCGATAATGATACTCCATTCCTGTAAATATAAAAGCCAGGAAAACAATTTATGTCACTGGTAATCTGGTTTAATCTTAGTGAGCACTGGTGCTTTGGCAGGTGGCAAGAGAGAGAATTCTGGGAGAGCTGGCTTTTTTTTTCTTTTCTTGATCTGGGCTTAAGTCACACGGTTGTTTGGGTTGTGTAAGATTCAGTGGGCTTTACACAGTGGTTTGTGTACTCTTTTTCCTCTGAGGTTGGAAATAGCTTCACGCTTCTCTTCTAATTAAACACCCAATTTATTAAGCATGCAATGACTTTGCCAAACCTTTGATTTTTTTTCTTTGAGACTGTCTCCCTGTGTGCTCTTGCTGGCCCTGTATTCACTACGTAGGACAGATTACTGACATAAAAATTTAACTCCAGAGTAATGTAAACTTTTGAACCTAATATTCTTATTCGTAAATTATTATTGTCTGCCCTACTCTTCATACTAAGCCCCATGGGCGGGGCTTTTGTTTGCCTTGCTCTGCCCCATGGGCGGGGCTTTGGTTTGCCTTGCTCTGCCCCATGGGCGGGGCTTTGGTTTGCCTTGTCCCACCCCATGGGCGGGGCTTTTGTTCACTTTGTCCCGCCCCATGGGCGGGGCTTTCATTTGACCTGTTCCACATACCAACACTTGGAATACATTGTAATCAGTAGTAAGTCAACAAGGATTTGTCAAATTCAAAACAGAAACCATTTAAAAATTTTACTAGAATGTTCAAGACCCTGAATTTGATTCCCCCTAAACGGAACTTTCTGGTAAATATGCATTACAAACACACTAGGCCTAGAGGGTCACAGTTTCCTTTTTCTGGTGGAGTTGCTTAGATGGAGAGCAATAATTTTTAACAGAGAAACAGAAGACAGACCCAAGGTGACACTAGAAGGAAGTGCCTAAAACTCTCAGCTCTGGAGGGGCAGGGGCTGCTGGGAGAATAGAACCGGGCAGAGGAGCTACCCCAGGGGAAAACGAGCTATTTCTATTGAAATGTCACAAAGGCGATGTGAAAGGGACCATCTGATAGAAGAAAGGACAAGTGGTCGGGGATGGCAGCTGAGTGAAAACACGGGACGTTTAGAAAGAGGAGACCAATACTCAGAGCCTGCCGGACCCAAGCTCCAAGCAGAAGCAGAAGGGAGCTAAGCAAACGGCTGTCTTCACCAACGGAAGCAGCAGGCAAGAACAAGTGTGAGCAGCCACCAAGTACAGGACAGCGAACAGAGCATGACAAACCAGCTCGTCATGACATTTTATACGATAAATCTATTGTGTGTGTGTGTGTGTGTGTGTGTGTGGTCCCTTCAAGTAATCTAAAACGAAAAGGTGACCCACATAAAAATTTCCATTGTACTATTCCTAACTGGAAAGAGAAAAAGAGAAGAAAGTCAACCCAAATGCCCTACAGCTGGGAAAAAACAATGCCTTGATAATAATGTCATTCCATGATCATTAAATATAATAGGTGGGGGCTGAGAGGGCCCGTTCAGCAACATGCCTGTAACGACTCTTACTGAATTCAGTAACTGTTACGTGAGGCTGGAGTTCTGATCCCAGAACTCAGGGTGGGGGGGAGGGTGGGGCGCTGGGTGGGAGGAGGGCGGGGTGCTGGGTGGGGAGCTGGTTCAATAGCCTTAGTTTGTGATCCCAGCGTGGGAGGGGAGGGATAAGGAATAGAGACAGGTGGAACCTTGAAGCTCATTGTCAGCCGGCCTAGCTGAACTGATGGCCTCCAGGTTCAGTGAGAGACCTTCTAAAAAGATAAAGGGAAAACGGTACCCCACCCTTAAGGTTTAAGGGACATTGCAGAAGAAGGGGCAGAAAGGCTGTAGGAGTCAGAGGTCCGAGGAGTCTGCAGTGAGATTGTGTCTCTTGCAATGGCAGAAGCTACACCTGTAATGTCTCAGCAATATGACTGCCTAAACAGGAGCTGAACAAGGGCGACATCAATAGATATGCAAAGTAAACCGGGGACCAGGAAGCCCTGGAGGCCTTGACCTCAAAGAGCTAAAGGCAGCTAAGGACAGCTGGGAATTGGAGCTGGAGAAATAGTCTTCCCCAGGGAAGGGCACATTGGTTATTCAGTACCAAATGGTCTGCCCTGAAAACACACATAAAAGTACCATTATTCAGACTGAGCAGGTCGTACTTATGTATTCAGGAATACACACATATATGTATATACACACACAAATATATGTGTGTGTGTAATACAATGCATATGTATATAATACTAATTGATGAGAAAAAGAGCCATGAATTTGAGAGGGAGCAAGGGGGAGTATAGGGAAGGCTTGGTGGGAGGGAGGAGGAGGGGGAAATGATTTAGCTACAATCTCAAAAAACATAAAATTTTAAAAGTTTACAAAAAGCAACCATTAGCTTGTTTTGGAAAAGTTGTGTGGTTGAATAGAAAAATCAATTAAGCTTTATAAACAGAAAGAATGTTTTATACATGTTAAAAAACAAAAAAAATTAAGTGGAAAAGGCGGGGAAGACGGCTTGGCAGGTGAAAAACCCTTGAAATCAGGACCCTTGAAACCTGAGCTCCATCCGGGACCTGAGAGCGGAAAGAGAGCTGACCCCTCCTTACATTGTCCTCTGGCTTCATACGAATGCCTTGGAATATGCCCTTTCCCGAGAACAAATAAATAAATAAATGTTAATTTAGTTATTTTGTTTCCTTTTTAAGAGAGAAGACCATGAAGTTGGGTGGGTAGAATCTGGGAGGAGTTGGGACCCAGGAAAGAACATGAAAAAAGATACTGTATGGAATTCTCAAAGACTGAATTAGAAATATTTAAACAAAAATAAGCTGGGGAGCCACTGAGAAAGACACCATGAACAAGTACCTATGGGGGGAGGAGAGATGGAAGAGAGAGAGAGGGAAAAGGAGAGAGAGAGAGAGAGAGAGAGAGAGGGGGAAAGAGAGAGAGAATGAATAAAGGTAGAAAATACAAAAAGTAGAAAAGGCCCAAATACATTTGACACTTGCAGGAATGACAAAGGATCTAGAATGACCAAGATGACTGATGTTTTTAGAAGATGAGATTTTTTTCCTGCAAACATATTACATCTATAATAAAATTATTAAATTAAATAATAAAGATAAAAAACTACATACCAAAGCATTGGGGAAACTATTTTTTAAGCATATACAACCAATCCGTTTCAGCAATATGATGAAGCTTATGGTGCTCATCGTTATGAAACACACAGCAATTATTCCTACTATGGTAGATTCTGACAATCCTGTTGATGAAAAGATACATGAGTTTATTCAGGAGAAATTGAATGCATGGTCACAGGTGGGGTATACTCACATTGGTTTGGTGTCAGAAGTTAATGCGGAGGAAGCAAAAGTTTGAAAAAATTATATTGCTAAATACCAAAGAAAGGAAGCTAATATAAATGTATTATTTGAAACCAAATATACTTAGGTTTTCAAAATCAATAGTTTTATGTTAGACAACTGCAATAGAGTAGCTGCTAGCTGTCTGAGCTTCTTGAAATTTCAATGATCAAAACTGAAATCTACTTTCTCTGTCACACCAGATCTCAATTGCCTGTGGGCACTCAGCCCTCTGTGGTGGCCCAGCTGGAGGATGGGACACCAGCCTGGGAAACTAATTAGGGTGTTATGAGGCTTGGCCTTGGCCACAGCAGAAACCCAAACCCAGCCAGTGCTTTGCCTGCGAAGACCTTTCCTAGTCTCTTCTCAAGCTTCCTCTTGGAAGATTTCTCCCATTGCGTTGAGAGCAGCTGCTTCCCCTAAGGACAACTGGACCAAGGTGCAGTGAGTCACCACAGGTGACGTTCTCTTAGATTTCCAGAAAGGATCTATATTAGTATGAACCCTGTATCAGAGCTTCAAGGAAAAACAGGCAGAAGAGGTATAAGGAACTGAAAATGGATCACGTACTTCAAGTCTTTGAAAAGGTGAATTAATGAATGGCTAGCTCAGTGAAGACCCCAGGCATTGGGAGTCAGCCCTGACTTCCAAACACAGGCCCATGGAGAGGGTAGATGGTAGAGGATCCTCAGACCTGGCCTCAGAGGCACGGTATGAGGATTTTGACTCACAGATGATTCATGGACCTACCCAACTTTCTAAAGAGTCTACACAAGAGCAGTGCAGTAAACTCAACCCACAAGCACATTAGACAAACTGTAGTCAGTAGCAAGCTAGAACAACGCTTCTCACAGGGCCATGTGGCATCAGTCCCAAGGGTCTTCACGACTTGAAGGTTCTGTGTTTGATTTTAGCTTAGTGGTGAGGTAAAATACAATCTCTTGGGTTGCGGCCAATTATGCGTGTATGTTATCATCATAGATTGTTTTCCTAAAAGAGGGTTAGAACAGCTCATTTTGGGAAGCAGAGGCCAGATTTATATCTTCAAATCTTGGCCTTGGATGTGTCTTGTCTTTCTTTTAAAACCTAAGAGGCTTGGGTGGCAAGGATAGTGTTTTATAAATGCCGTTCTCTGTAGTAGACTGATGATGTAGCAGGCTGATGTAGCAGGTGATGTAGTGGATGATGTAGCAGATGATGTAGCAATGATGTAATGGATGATGTAGTGGATGATGTAGCAGATGATGTAGCAATGATGTAATGGATGATGTAGTGGATGATGTAGCAGATGGATGATGTAGAGGATGATGTAGTGGATGATGTAGCAGGTGATGTAGTGGATGATGTAGCAGATGATGTAGTGGACTGATATAGCAATGATGTAATGGATGATGTAGTGGATGATGTAGCAGATGATGTAGCAATGATGTAATGGATGATGTAGTGGATGATGTAGCAGATGGATGATGTAGTGGACTGATGTAACATGATTTAGCAGGTGATGTAGCGGATGATATAGAGGATGATGTAGCAGGTGATGTAGCAGATGATGTAGCGGGTGATGTAGTGGATGATGTAGCGGATGATATAGAGGATGATGTAGCAGATGATGTAATGGATGATATAGAGGATGATGTAGCAGATGATGTAATGGATGATGTAGAGGATGATGTAGTGGACTGATGTAACAGATGATGTAGCAGGTGATGTAGCGGATGATGTAATGGATGATGTAATGAATGATGTAGAGGATGATGTAGCAGATGATGTAATGGATAATGTAGAGGATGATGTAGCAGGTGGTGTAGCAGATGATGTAATGAATGATGTAGAGAATGATGTAGCAGATGATGTAATGGATGATGTAGCAGATGATGTAACAGATGATGTAATGGATGATGTAGAGGATGATGTAGTGGATGATGTAATGGATGATGTAGAGGATGATGTAGCAGATGATGTAGAGGATGATGTAGCGGATGATGCAGTGGATGATGTAGTAGCTGATGCTTCTTGGAGTTCTTCCCTGCTGGTTTCTCTGGATGAGATCCACTTAGATCATTGCAGAGCCTGGCAGGGAGCCACTTGGATCTCCCACTTTGTGGCACACCACTGTCCCTCCTACATCTTAAGTCAGATCTGCTCAAGTCCCCCTGGGGTCTTCATCCCTTGTAATGTCTTTTAAAGACTTATGCCATCTAGAGACTCACACCCTCTGACGTAAACCAGTACTGTTCCTCTTTGCTCTCTTCACTCCAAGTCAGCGTGCCTGAGGCCCTTAGTCAGCATCCGCTGGACCCCTGCTAGGTCTCCTAGACGCGTTTGCCTTGTTCCTGTGGTCTAGCCTACAGAAGCAAGGTGGCAAAACCCGGCTCAACTCAGATTGGCATACAATTCCTATGTTAGATGTTCTAATTGAGTTTCTCTGGGGTAAAGACCAGGGTGTTTGCCGGATGGATCCGAGATCCATGCCCAAGCCTTTTTCTGCTTTGCAGAGCTCTCTTCCGTCCTCAGAGCCAGCAGACCAGCGGCTCTCAGTCTCTCACTGTCCGATCTTTGCTTCCGTTGTCACTGTCCTCTGTGCTCCCAGGAGGCCCACATAGGTGGCCCGGGATAATCTATCTCCATTCTGAATTTATCAGGAAGCACCCAGTCTCTTTGGCCACAGGTCTAAAATCAAGATACAGGTGTCTTGAGATACAGATGTCTATAAGTGGCTGTTACTCTGTCTACCACACATCCCCGGGGGTCCTCATCCAGGAACCACTCACTTCAGTCATCTGTGGCGGATGCTGTAGGTGTCCCACCCACATTCCTTACCCATCAGTGAGGCGTGGGTGCTTTGGTGCAGGCTAACAGCCAAGTGTGAGATGCTTCTGAAGGACTTGGCCCGACCGAGACAAAGTTGCTCCCACCTGGAGGTCACACCACCCGGGACTATTAATCACCCCAGTGATTGAGGGTGACAGGTTTCTGAGGAGCCCCTGGGATTGGCTGCTGAGCCAAGGACGCCCATGCCAAGGGTACCCATTAGTTTTGTCCTTGCTGGCCCACACTTGTTCCTTCATCCCCTTTCTGGGGTTCGTTCACCTCCATACAAATCACAAGTGAATAGGAATCGAAGGGCATGTACACCCGGACGGCCACATTTGAAACAGTGACTGCCCACCCCTCCCCTAGACACTTCCTTGCCAACCTTCTTTCTGCCCCACCCCCCATGGTTCTTACTGTTACTTTATTTCTACATTTTAATCTCACTATTCTGGGTCCTACTGCTGTGGGAGTTCCACAACACCAGAGACTTCTATTTCTGTCATTGCTGTGTTTGTTACAGGGTTTGCTAGGAGCCATTTGATGGATTTAGGGATTAACAAGGGGAAGATGCCTCACCATATCTCTGGGCTAATGTCCTCCTGTGGCCCCCACCCTAAAAGTAAGCCCTGGTCTCAGCTGTCTGTCAAGCTGTATCTGCTGACCGCTGCTTTTGCTGGTTAAGAGCAGCTCAGATGGTAGCTGGACAGCGGGAGGGGTCTTACTATCCGAATCTGTGATTGCTGAGTGCCAGACAAGAAAGCACAAGTGTCAGGATAGTTGTAGACATGAGCTGTCTCAGTTAATGGCGGAAGGGAGGCCGGCGACACATTAAACGATGTGTTAACACCGGATCATGATGGGATGAACCCACAGTATGCTATTGCAAGACCAGGCCTTAGCAGGTGGAACACCGGGTGGGGAGAGGGGAAAAGAGGTCAATTTCCAGAGAATGGCCAGCTGCTGGGTCAACGACTCTGGGTCACAGTAAACCTTCCTCTGTGGTTTTACTGAATTTTTTTTTTTTTTACTAAATTTGTGTGTGTGTGTGTGTGTGTGTGTGTGTGTGCATACACATGCCACAGTGTGCATGTGGAGGTTTCAAGACAACCTCCTGGAGTTTGTTATTTTCTCCCACTGTGTGGGCTCTGGGATCAAATGTGGCAGCAAGCACCTTTACCCCCTGAGCCATCTCATCCACCCTGACTTGAATTATTGCTTGTGAGAGTTTTATCTGTATATAAGATCATGATGTTTCCTGTACCTGTATATATACATATGTTCATATTCTCTCTCTCTCTCTCCCTCTCCCTCTCTCCCTCCCTCTCTCTCTCTCTCTCTCTCCCTCCCTCTCTCCCTCCCTCCCTCCCTCTCTTCCTCCCCCCCCTTTTCCTGGTTCTAGGCACAAGGCTTCAGACCTCATGAAATTCCCTGGCCGAAAGCCGCTCTTTTTAACAAGCACTACTTGGAGCCTGCTATGGTGCCCACTGAGAAGGGAGGGGGTGTTAGGAAGGACTTGGGTCATGAGACTCTGCCCTCAGTTGTGGAGTAATGCTGTCATTAGGGGAATGGGTGATCATAAAACAGCTTGCTACTTCCCCTCCATGGCATGTGACATCTACAGATTCAGAAAGGAACCCTCCCATTTTGCATTTCCCAGCCCACAGTCTACTAGGAGAAATAAATATTTCTATTTTTCTATCTCTCTTTTTAAAGATTTATTTATTTACTTTATGTATGAGTGCACTGTCTGCATGGACAATTTTATGCCAGAAGAGGGCATCAGATCCCACTTTAGATGGCTGTGAGCCACTATGTGGGTGCTGGGAATTGAACTCAGGACCTCTGTAAGAACAGCCAGTGCACTTAACCTCTGAGCCATCTCGCCAGCCCCCTAAATGTCTTTTCTTTGTATAAAGTTATTCACTTGGGTTATTTCATTACAGCAGCGGTAAAGAGACTAAGGTAGCAACCATATTTAAGTCTATGCCAATGAGGTGACCCCCTGGAGAACAGGGAGCCAGCATCAGGATGAGGTCTGATTTGTAGAGGAAAGAACTGGTATGACCAGGGAGGTGTATTCCTCCTCCCTTTAGGAGACTAAGTCTAATGCTGCAGCCAACGACTTCATCAGACCTAGCTCAATCCCTGAATGTGAGATAGTGGACATGCTGGCGTTCTGGGGAGGCTGCCGCCACAGGAGGAGAAGCTGCTGTGTTGACTCTTCCATCCCCCATGCTGGGAGTCTAACGTCTTCACTAGACTCGGGTAGAACTTTTATCCCGACTAGTCACGCAAGTCCCAGGAGTTCTGGGAGGCATGTCATCAAACTATTGGATCTGAGAGGAATTTTGGGGAGTTCTTGATTTTGTAGCCCAGTTGGACAGGAGTCCAAGTGCTATGAAGACCTTGAACTTGTGGCTTGCATTTGAAGCTGGGACGTCCTGTGACAACAGGTACTTATCCTGCCTGCTCTGACTGGGTAGTGGGTCAGAAGGGAGCTAGAGTATTGGCTGTCTACTTGGAGTTAAGAGGTCTAGTGCCAGACATGAACAGGCTGACTTGCTCGGGGCCTATGTTAATCGTTTTGTAGGAGTTATAAGCTACAGACACTGGAACTCAGCTTAAGGTAAGGGTTGGCCTTTGCCTTTAGTATCAATTAGTCTGTGTATCTTCTGGCTTTGAGGAACACTAGACCATGAAGTCACACTGCTACCAGACCACCTAGTGCCAGGCCCTACCTAGTGAGTCCCCAAATAGCTGAGTCACTTGTAAGTTACCTTGGTAACATTGTGGCCGACTGCCTGACAGAAGAAATGTGAGGGGGTGGGATTGGCTCATGATTTCGGAGAGTGTGTCCATCCTGTCCGGGAAGGAGGGCAGAGGTGATGGGCTTGGTGGCAGGAGTGTGGACTGGAAGCCGTTCAGGTGGTGGACGAGGAGGCAGAGAACATGCCGCAGGCAGGGTCAGAGGTGGGTATGACCTTCAAAGGCCAGCCAGTCCCAGTGACCTACTCTGGTCAGTTAGAGCCAACCTCCCAAAGTTTTCCAGAAAGACCACAAATGGTGCCATCAGCTGGAGGTCAAGAGCTCATATCATGAGTCCATCCATGGGAGACATTTACCATTCAAACCATCTCCTGGTTCCCTTGCAAATACAGTCTTTTACTCTGCTGGGCGACAGTGCTGAGGAGGCTGTCTTTGGGGCTGAGGGATTTCAAAAACAACTCTGGGCAGGGTGGAGGGTGGGGGAGGGTGGGGGATGGGGAGAGAGCGGGGCGGGGGGGGGGCGGCAGTGGATTTTCAGAACCTTTCTCTTTCAGTGAGATGCCTGAGAGCTGGTGACCGTTCTAGACAATAGGGAGAGTGCCTAAACTCAACCGCTCTGAACACTGTTCTTTTTTTGAGGCAAGGTCTTGCTATATAACCCAGGCTGGCTTGAAACTCACTGTGGAGCACAGGATGACCTCAAGCTCATCATCTTCCCTCCCCTCCAGAAGGTCAGAGTACAGGTATGCACCACCACATCCCATGCTCCCTACCGCTGCATCCCTGTTCTGGCCACTCAGCTTCTCAGGTAAAGAAACGTTAGGGTCATAGTACTGGCTGTTCAAGGGTCTATAATAGGAAGGCTTCTTGACCTCGCCAGGGGCTGTATCCTCTCTGTGGAGAAGCGTCCCTCATATTCTTAGGACTCACACCCAAGGCCTCCGTTTCCATCCTGTACCTTCCCAGGTGTCCAATGCCAGGGCTTCAAGCCACTTCCAGTCTTCTAGCACTAGGCACAAACAATGGCCAAAGGGCACACAGCTCTGGGTTTAACCCAGAATTCCTTAAAGTGCCAGAGAGGATATGACCTTCTCAAGCAGACATTTGGTTATTCTTCCGGCAGACATTAGATATGGACCAGTAGGAACAGCTCCGTGACATGCATTTATTGGAAGAAGTACATTTAGCACACTAGAACTTGAGATTTTTTTTTCATCCAGCAGATTTTCCATCAAAACAAAAGTACAAATTTTAAAAGCCTGACCATACCTGCTTCCTGGCCAGGCGGAAGAAGAGTGCACTTAAAGGGGGACTTAATAGTGTCTTCCATCTTTCCAGTTTTAAAATAAACGGACACACAATAATTTGTCTTTGGAAGTAAGTCTCGGAGGACATAGGTGAAGTTCCCCGTGGGGTTATCCATTTTGGGATTGTGCTGTAAAAAGAAACACAGACACAGATACACACACACACACACACACACACACACACACACACAGAGAGAGAGAGAGAGAGAGAGAGAGAGAGAGAGAGAGAGATCAGTTAAGACCTTGGTGAGAGCTCTGAACTCTAAAGGTCCCATTGTAAACAGGTTTAAAAACATCATAGGATTAATTGTGAAAAGGGTTATACGTCTTTAGAAGCAAGCAGTTTATCACCAAACCACATGTTTAGACATATGCACACATATTTTAAAACCACATCTGGCCTATCAACTCCTTTTCTGGATGAGGAAAAAAAGTACTAAATTGAATGAAGATTCCTGTGATATCCTTTCTACAATATTACCATTTTCCCTTAGCCCCACCTCTACTCCAAATACTAACTCTGTAAAAAGTCTTACTGTGCAATTCCTCAAGTAACAATTTCTTAAGCTGGGATTTATAGTCATTTAAGTCTTCAGTAAGACCGCGCCTCTACCAGCTTCTTCTGAGCAGGAGGGGTTACTAAACAAAGAGGCAGCCGGGTCAACAAAACACAAGCTCAAGCACGGAGGGGAGTCATGGAAAAGACGGTGGGGCGGGGTGGACACGGTGCAGCAGTGAAGCCAGCACCTCCCAGGGGAAGGAAATAAAACAGGCTCCCAAGGTCCTGAGTGCCCATGACCATAGCTGGCCATTTCCCCAGCCCACTGAGCATTCCTTCCCTTTAAAAGAGACACTCCAGAGGAGAGCGAGCTCTGCCATGCTTTTCGGGAAGGGGCCCATTCCAGTCAGGCTCTGTCCCAAGACTCACCAGAGGCACCCTTATCAAAGAACTCTCCCTTCACTCCAGACATGGGACCCGCCTGCCACAGCCTCCTGCTGAACACCATCTTGGCATCTCCCATTTAACAAAACCTAACTGAGCTTCAGCCAGAGTCCTCATTACTTCCGCTAGTGGCAACTGTAATATGCTGTGGCCTTAACTTTTCCCTTTTCTCTACCATACTCTAGAGTCCCTTTATAAACTACACTGTAGCCCTGGAAGGTCCCATGGCCAACTGGTCCAGGCTACTCCCACCTGTTGCCTGGGTTACACCAATGGCCTCTTCTATTCCAAGATTTAATTTGATTTAAAGAGGATTTTTCTTTAGTAAAGAAGAGCCCTGCTGCCTATAGTTTTCATCCCACAGTGTCGTTATAATCCTTTCTGAAACAGTCTAAAATGCTGCAGTTCGTGGTAAGAACATGAGGAAGCATGGCTGAAGTGTAACAGTAGATGCTACACCGTCTTTCCCCTTCCTACCCCTGCCCCAGCTCTCTCTGCAATGCTGAGTGTCGAACACGAACATGACAGAAACATGCAGCCCTTTCCTGGCTTTACACAGCTCTTGGAGAGATAGTGAGGAACATCCACGGCCAGCTTGGCATTGTTTTGATCTGAACCCGAGGAAGCACTTACCATCTTCATGTTCTTGCCTGCCCACTCTTCGATGAAAAACGACTTAGAGCCTAGTACTTCCCATATGCTCTCCCCGTATATCTTGGGGGTGACAGGTGGGAATTTCACTGTCACGTTGATGTGATCCATGAAGCCAATAATCTCAAATTCTGGCGGCTCAGGTCTAACTGTGTGGGAAAGAGAACGAGAGTGAGCTCCAGTCAGTCTTTTGGTACGCAAGGTGGTCCCTCCTAAGAAAGGCTCATTCTGTGGGCTTCTAATTCTAGCTGGATAGCATTGTTTGGATTTACTGGTGAAAAGCAGAGAATACAAAAGTAAAACGATTCATGAGCATTCTTATGACACATTGAGACAGATTTGAGATGGACATCAACAGAGTTCCAGTTCTCACGCTGTATTTTACATACAAAATTTAAAGGGACTTGTCTTCATAACTCAACATAAATATATAGCAATAATATACACTTGCAGAAAATACAGGTGGGAATTTCCTTTGAGTATAATTAACTTCCATGATGTATGTATATGAATAAATACGTGTTCACAAGTATTAACTGGGGCGTATAACTGCCATACATGCATATGTATGTTCACAGATATACACACGGAAATTAAATCCTTCTAACCCACATTTTTTTATGCCACTTAACTACTTAAAAAACAGACAAACAACCCAGATTTTCCCTACACAGCCTGGCTGGCCTTGAACTCACAGTTTTCGCCTTCTGGTTCTTCAGTACTGGGGTTCCAAGCACAAGTCATCATCCCTGGCTCACTTAACTGTAATCCATAAACATATTTATCTACCCCAAGGGCTAGAAAACCATGTCTCATGGGTTAGACTTTGGCATAACCTACAATTTCATATCTTTTTCTTTTGGATGATTTTGCACTTTTTTGGGGGTGGGAATCTCAGGAAAACATGAAGGACAACCCAACAGAGCCTGTATCCTGTATATGGGCCACGAAGTCTAACGTGTTCTTCTCTGGCCTTCATGAGGAGCACTGACCCCCAACTCACCGCGTAACTTTCCAGGATGAATTTAAAACCTTGTGTTCTAGACCCCAATTGACTCACTGTTTTGAACAAATTGATTATCCTTAATATTTATGAAAAGAACCAATGTGTCATTCAGTGTTCTTGAGCTGAATCTTTGCATTTGTCCTTAGCTATTTCTTTCTCTCTGTGTCGTCTTCTTTTGTTCTGAGACAGGGTTTCTCTGTGTAACAGCTCTGGCTATCCTGAGATTCACTTTGTAGACCAGACTGATCTCAAATTCAGAGATCCACCTGCCTCTGCCTCCGAGTGCTGGAATTAAAGGCATGTGCCACCACTGCCAGGATCTTTTTCCTTTTAAAAGTGCTTTTAGGGGCTGGAGAGATGGCTCAGAGGTTAAGAGCACTGACTGCTCTTCCAGAGGTCCTGAGTTCAATTCCCAGCAACCCACATGGTGGATCACAACCATCTGTAATGAGATCTGGTGCCCTCTTCTGGCCTGCAGGCATACATGGAGGCTGAGCACTGTGTACATAATAAATAAATCTTAAAAATTACATTGATTTTTTTTAAAAAGTGCTTTTAAAAAATTATTAAATTACATGTATGTGTGCACACTTGTGGGGAATGTGCACATAAGTGCAGTTGCGTGCAGAGGCCAGAAGAGGGCAGCAGATCCCTGAAGCTGGAGTTCTAGGTGGTTGTGAGCTGTGGCTGCTGGGAACTGAACTCAGCTCTGTAGGAACACTGTGTACTCTTAGTTGTCCAGCCATCTCTCCAATCGTCTTGACCATTTTTTAATAACAAATTAGCAATAGGGAATTCTTGGTTAGAGTCGTCACATGTTAAAGGTTTTTTTGTTTTATATATTCTCTCCATATTTGATAGAAAAACATCTACTATTTTAAGGTTTTTTAAAAAGTTTTTACTTTATTTGTGCGTGTGCATGCATATGTGTGTGGGCACATGCATCACAGCACAGGTGTGCAGGTCAGAGGACAACTTTTGGGAACTGCTCTTTCTCTACCGTGTGGGTAGAGACTGACCAGATCATTGGGTTTGGGGACAAACGCCTTTACTCACTGAGCCTTCTTGCTGGCTTACGTTACTTGTTTTTTTTTTTTTTTTTTTAATGTGCATTGCTGAATCTGTTCAGAAGAACGGTGTTACAGCAGGAGGTCTGTGTTGCTTTTCTAGTCCTGGGGATTTGGTTTTGTTTGTTTGACAAAGGGCCTGACAATGTAGCCCTGACTGACTTCCTATATTCTATGCAGCCTAAGCTGACCTCACACCTGCAGTAATCCTCCTGTCTCAGGCTCTTGGGGGCTGGAATTATATGTGTGCACCACCATACTTGGCGATCTTAGGTTTTAGTATTCTTTTCATATTTATTATTTGGATCATGAAAAATACTTATTACTTGAATACATATTCCTTATCATGATCTATAAATTATTCTTCAATCTCTTTTCTGTGTGTCTATGCACAGATATAAATGGTGATCCAAAGCCTGCATACCACTGCAGTGGTCTCATGCCTCGTAAGATCTGAATCATGGGTCATGGTAGCCACATTATCATTTGCCAAGTATGTCTGCACACATACACACACACACACACACACACACACACCTACTCGATCTGTAAGAGCATGCCAAAACCAAATCATGACCTTGGAAACCAGTTATAAAGGAGCTGGAACCACTAACACAAGTGCCCAGGAGGTGGCCCTCAGACACAGGGAAAGAGAGAAAGGGTCACTCCACCCTGTGAGCTGAGGGTCCTAGGGCTCACATATGCAGCTTTATTGGGTTATAGTCTCAGACAGGCTGTGGTAGTCAGAAAGACACTGGCCTAAACTGACACAACAGCTTAGAAAGAAACATACAAACCCTCTTCCCCACTTCCTGTCAGGCTCCTCCTCACTTCCTGCCAGGCTCCTCCCCACTTCCTGCCAGGCTCCTCCCCACTTCCTGCCAGGCTCCTCCCTACATCCTGCCAGGCTCCTCCCCACTTCCTGCCAGGCTCCTCCCTACATCCTGCCAGGCTCCTCCTCACTTCCTGCCAGGCTCCTCCTCACTTCCTGCCAGGCTCCTCCTCACTTCCTATCAGGCTCTTCCCCACTTCCTGCCAGGCTGCAAAGAGACCAGGAAAACAGCTGCAGCTACTGCTGAAAACCTGCCAATAATCTGAGAAGATGAGGTTACGGACCCACTTTTCAGATCAGAAAGCTGAGGCTCTGAGCAATCAATGACCACACAAGGCAGGGCCAAGAGTCAACCCAGCTCTGAAGTCAAACACCTTTGCGGACCTTTCTCTATGTAGCAAACCATGGAGAGAGAGAGAGAGGCATGCTCACTGTCTAAGTCCGTGATAGAGGAATCACAATAGCTCGGCATGGAGTCTCCTCTGTAAATGACGATGATGAGAACATAGGTCTCATGCGTTCCATTCCACTTGTCTGTCACGTCGCAAGATGGTTCTGTGATATTTCTACAGTTCTCAAGCACCTTCGGAGCTTCTGTTTCGCTTTGTGGGTGGGGGAGAAGATGAAAAAGGAAAAGCTGAGCATATGTGTTCTGAGAATCCACTCTCTGGGCCTCATTCATTCCTTCAGGGCTCTGACCAGATATTCCACACTTACTTTATCTTAAAATTGGACATGTTAAACTCTATCTGGCCCCACACTTTCAATCTCTTTTGGATTTTTTTCCCCCTGAGGATTCATTATATCTTTATTTGCTTAATAATGTCCCCAGCTTCTTTCTGAATATCTGTGCCTAGAGGAAAAGGCTTTGTTTCATGGATGCAATCTGCTGCATGAAGGGAGGGAGGGAAGGAGTCAGGGAGGGAGGGAGGGAGGGAGGGAGGCTTTCCTGGCCTTGGCCTCAGACCTCCCTCTCACTCTCAGACAGTTACAACTGCTTTACCAAGCCCTCCCTCTCTGTCTGAAGGTCATAAACATAGTCTTAAGTCAGAACTGTGTTAGTTTAGGGACAACATGGACATCTGGTCTACCAAGCTTGGGGAAGAAAGGGAAAGTGTTGGTTAGCTTTAACTGTCAACAGGAGGGAGGGAGGAGAACCTAGGGCTGAATAATTATCTGGATTGAGTTTGCCCATGGACAAGTCTGTAGGTGATTATCTTGATTGTTAATTGACGTTGGAAGCACCCTGAAGGTGGGTGACCCTGTTTCCTGGCCTGGGTGCTGAACGGTATGAGTATAAAAAGGTAGCTGAGGGACTAGCTTAAGCCAAGCAAGCAAGGCTCCATAGATTTGTTTCTCTGATCATGACTGTGAGGTGACACTTGAAGTTCTTGCCTTGATTTCCCTCAACAGTGGACTGTAGCCTGGAATTGTAATCCAAATAAACCCCTTTCTTCCCCAAGTTCCTGTTGGCCAGGGTGTTTTATCACAGTGGCAGAAACTAGACTGGGTAGGCTAACAGCATGTGTGATCATCGAGAAGATAAAAACAGACTTGTCAGGAGAAAGGGAGACCTTTGCCTTCTCCTGGCCAGTTTAACAGTTGGACATCAGGTACATAATCAAGAAAAGGACATTTTGGGCCAGGTCACAGAGCTTACATATACAATACTCTCTCCTCAAAGAGCTACTTGGTCGTAACAAGGATGCAGGAAAGATGAGCGTGGGAGCAAGAGGGCCAAGGTAGTCTCCATCAACCCCATCTTTACTCCTTGTAGCAATCCTTAAGCAGAGACAAAACGCTCTGGACTAAGTATCAAGCTTGTCAGTGGCGAAATGACGTTGGACCCAAGCTTGCAGAGTTTCTAGAATCTAACCTGTCTCCATGAGTAAAGAAACGTGGACGGAAAGCATCATATGGTCAACAGACTTTGAGCCCCATGGGAAGTGAGACCCTTAAATGTCAGAGTGACTGAAAACAGATCACTGTGAACCACAAGAATCTGGCTTTGGTGAAGTAATAAGGGCGGCGGTGGGGCTGCGTCCCCAACACCCCAGCCGCCTGCCCGGCTAGCTTATGCCCCGAAATAATTACACGGACACTGTATTCTTTTAAAAACTGCTTGGCCCATTCTCTTCTAGGCTAATTCTCACATATTAATTTAGCCCATTTCTAATCATCTGTATGTAGCACCCCAAGGTGCGCTTACCGGGGAGATTCTAGCCTATGTCCATCCTGGGTCAGAGCTTCATTCCAGGAGCGGGGGCATGGTGTGTCTCTCAGGCGTCTGCTCCTGAGAGCAGAGCTGTCGCGACTCTGAGCTCACTTCCTCTTCCTCCCAGCGCCCTGTTCTGCTTTCTCCTCCCACCTATCCTCTAATCAATAAAATGGGCCAGGGCAGTGCCTTTATTAGCCAATGACCTTCCTCCATCACTTTGGTTATGAACACAAACGTTGCCCCCAAATAGCTTTGGGTTATTAACCTGAAGAGAGTTCCTAGAACTCATGTCAACATACAACTCCAGTTCCAGGGCATCCAATACCTCTGACCTCCACAGGTATCTGTCTCCAAGTGCACATAACCACATGCAGACACACACATCTATAAGTAATGAAAAATGCCTATAGACAAAACAATAAAAATAAATTCTAAAAAATATTTAATTCCTTTATTACTACCTTGCCATATAGTTGGCAAATTAGTTGGTCCGTGTGAATAGCAATAGATTTTATGAAATATAAAAAAAAAGATTTCAAATTAATTAAGAAAGGATCAGTGTTTTGACTTTGACCCTTTAAGGTTCTGAATTTAAAAAAGAGAAATCCAAGACAAAGAGTTGGGAAGAGATGGCTGAGTCAGTGAAGTGGTTGCTCAGAAGGCATGAGGATCTGTGTTCTATCCCCAGCCATCACAAGGAGGCAGCACCTACAATCCTAGCCCTGGGGAGACAGACTGGAGGATCCCTGGGGCTTACTGGCCACCAACCTAGCAAAAGCCTCAAGCCCCTCCTTCAAAACTTAAGGTGGAGAGTGGATGAGGCAGACATATAATGTCAACCAACCTCTGGCCTCAGCAAACACATGTACATGTTCCCCCCACACACATAAATTAACTTAAAAAAGTCTGGGACCAAAAGTGTGTATATTGAGGGGAGAAATCACACAATATGAAAGAAAGGTAACACATTCAGCAAGAGAAGAAAATGAAACACCAACCAACCTCATGATTGTGTTCCAAAATGTAAAGTGAGTGGGTGGGAGCGACTTGTTCTCTAATTCCAACGATAAAACTAGCCGGAAGTTTCGTAATATCAGGTTCACAGTGCAAGATTCTTTTGGGTACTCTGGAGGGAATGGGAGGTGAAAAGAAAGAAAACAAAACAAACAAACAAAATATGAAATCTGAAATTCAGGATTGCTCTCCCGCTTGGGAGCTCAGACCCAACGTCCCCCAGGAAAGCCCAAGCACAATGGCATCTGGAACGTGCAGGAAGTCTGCTGGACATGGGAAATGAAGTAATTCAGCTAGCTAGCGACAACATACTGTCAGAGGAGCAAAGTTCACAAACAGGAACCAGCACCCTGTAAACAGACTTGGACAAAGGGTTCCCAAATAATCATGCTCCTTCCGGACCAGAGGCTTCTTCCACAACCTCATCCTCTTTGCTCCACTGGTCCATAAATCGCTCCACCCACTTTAGACTTTCCCTCTCTCTATCTCCCTGTCTCTCTCCCTCCCTCCCTTTCCCCAGCTCAGTTCCCCACTGCACTTTAATTCCCCTGATCACAAAAAGGGGGAAGAATTCTAGTTTTAAAAATGTATTTTCCTTTACCTGAAACCAGTATGTAGAAGATGAGATATTAAAGAGAAACTATGTCTGCATCATATTTTCTGTCTTCATTCTTTTATTAGTGAGAGATTAAAACTTCAGTGTTTCTGTAAGAGGGTGTCTTAGTGATCACTATGTTTCTTTTCTTATGATGGTTTTAGGAGACTGTAAATGGAGACTGTGCTTTCATTTCTCGGCTACCCAGACCGGAACAATCACACAGAAACTGTATTAATTACAACACTGCTTGGCCAATGGCTCAGGCATATTCCTAACTAGCTCTTACATCTTAAATTAACCCATTTCTATTACTCTACATATCACCACAAGGCTGCAACTTACCAGTAATGTTCTCGTATGTTTCTTCTGTGGCAGCTATAGGAGACAGATAATGAAAACTTCAGTTAGACAATCCTAGCTCCTCTTCTGGACAAAGGATTCCAATAAGCTTGTCAGCACACCCGAGATCAAGCTTTCCCTGTCTGTTAGCCCGACACTTTGACCCTTACATTAAATATAGCCAAACTCAGAATAATTCTTACCAACAAAAGCAGATGGCGAACCAAATTGTAGGATCATGCACACTAGGAGGAAGAAAAACAAGTAACAGAGATGTTTATTCTGGGTTCAGATTATCAGCATCACGCTAAATTTAAGAGCCTTTGACACGCGCACACTCACCAACATTTCCGAGCCTTTGACACGCGTGCACTCACCAACACTGAGATTTGCTTGCGCTAACAAAAATACTGTGAAGAACAGAAATGTTTCTGTGGCAATCAGGGCAGAAGCAAGGTGAGGCCTCTGGGACCCGACACAGTGAGGACTGGGTAGGAAGAGAGTGTCTGAGGAGCAGCTGTGCATATGAAACATTTCTCAGCATAGAAATCATCATGCTGTTCACTAATACACTTTATAGATAAAGATGTTTACCCAGGGCGGACGATGAAGAGAGGGGTTTGGGATGGGAACTATGAGTGCTGTCCCCTTGGAGCAGGCTTAAGTTAAGGGGGGCATTTATTTCCAGATCTGGTAAAGACTTAAGGGGAGTGGGATTCCTGGCATTTTACAGAAGGTGGAGTCCATGGGTGGTTACACATCATCCATGGGTACCTACACTGGGACAACTGTCACACTCAGGAGTCCCTAAGGACAAACGAAGGGACAGATGATCTGTCAGTGAAACAGTCAAGAGGAAGAAGGAGAAGGGGTGGGACAAAATAGAACTGTAGTGAAGAAAAGGGCTAAAATAAATAAATAAACGAACTGCATAACCCCAAGTTCAGGGCTGGATTTCCAATTTTGTGTCCATGGAAAGAGATAAAGGGGTTGTCTTCTCCACTCCACTCCACTGTGGTTAGACTTACAGCAACCACCCTTCGCTTAGAAACAAGGGTGTTTCCCTAATATGATTGTAGCTTACATTATTCTGGCTTAACTCAAATTAACAGGCAGAAAACCACAGGGTGCCTGATACTGGTCGTGCCGATCTGGGTCCTCCAGCCATGGACATTGGTTTGCCAAACCACATCAGGGCTGTGTGTGATGACATGGACACAGGCTTGCTCCTCTAACAGCTGTTAGATGAACAGTAACACTTACCCGCAAGACACAGGTTACAGAAACTGACGGTAGAGAAGGCGCGGTTGGAAAGCATCCTGGTGAGTCTGTAAGTCCTTCCTCTGCTCTCACATCTGAAAAATATAATATTGAGGTGATCAAAAATTCAGAAGCACCCAATTATATTGTCACACACACACCACACACGCAATAATAAAAGGCAAGTGAGAACTGGCGGAATTCGAGCTACGGATGTGGTTCTGTTGGTAGACCCAGACTAGTCTCCAGCCTGGCATAGACTCAGTGTGCTGGGGTACATCTGTCATCTGAGCACTCAGAGAGATGGGGAGAGAATCAGAAGTTCAAGGTCATCCTCAGCTACATAGGGAGTTTGAAGCCAGCAGGGACAAGGCAGCCAAATTCCTGGTTTTATCTTCCCTAGTTCCTTGGGATTGGACCATCAATTTGCTTAGCTCTTCTTCCAGCTGGCGGTGCCAACCCCTAGCTAAGGAGATTTTTTTAAAGCTTAAATGTTTGAATAGACAATGAGTATTGGGTTAATTTATTTTTAATTATTAAAAAATTAAATTAACAAATCTGACCGTGTCTGTGTGTGGGTATGTGTATGTAAGCAGGGGCGCCTGTGGAGGCCCAAGGAGCTGGAGTTACAGGCGGTTATGAGCCTCCCTTCATGGGTGCTGAGGATTGAACCTGAACCTTCTGTAAACCTAACTGCTGAGACATCTCTCTAGCACCTATGTTATTACTATGTGACACAGGCTGGCTTGAACTTGAACAAGCCTCCTGGCTCAGTCTCCCAAGTGCTAAGATTACAGCCAGGCACCACCATCCTGGCTAAATGAATTTCCCTTTCTTGCAGACAAGAGGTAGAATAGTCAACCATTTCCTATTTATTTTTTTTCTCCTAAAAAAACAAATTCGACAGGTCTTCCCACCAGAGAAAATGCTTCTGTTTTTAAAATATAGTTGTTCAGTATGTCTCCATGGACACACTATCACTTAGGAAGTTTCTCCACCCATCGCTGGTTCTGCCATGTGTTCCCCACCATGATGGATTAGCCTCTCAAAGTGTGAGCCAACACAATCCTCTCCTTCTGACCAGGTATTTGGTTAACTAAAACAGAACACTAGCAACAAGACTAGCCATTGCTGTCACAACCTTGACCATGCGGTTCCTAAGTCTTGGGGAGGGTTTTCCGGAGGAATGTGGAAGACTTTGGAGCTGTTGGCGACAGAAGCTTTTAAGTGCCTATTAAGTGCTTAAAGCTTTAATAGGGATTTGGAAGGCCAAAATGCTCTCAGATACACAAGCAGTAGAGACTCGACTCTATGGTTTCAGAGAGGAACAAGGACTCTCCGGGGAATCTGGCTAAATGTCTCCGCCTGTGGCCCGAGGAGGCTGAGTTGGAAGTCAGGGGCTGATTTGTTTGAAGGAGCATGTCTTAATTAAAGATGGGATGCACACGCAGGCTGCCACGGTTACTGCTCACCGCTCTTATCCAGGTCTGTGCTGAAAGAGAGCAACAGGTGATGCCGAAAACCACGGAGAAACACGAAGCCTGGCAAGGAAGGCAGCGCGTTGAAAGCTGCTTGCAGGCAAGGTGGGTGTGGGCCACCCTGGCAACTGTTAACGATGTTAGCGCCACTAAAGAGAAGCCAGGGAGTTTGCACTTGGCTAGGATCATAAGAAAGTTATCCCAAAGGCAGGATGCCGCCCACTGAGCGCTCCGGGCTATAACAATGCCTTCCACTGGGAAAAGAAGGCCACTGGAGAGGTAGACAGAATCCACTGGTATCCGCTCCCCCCCTCCATGCCCCATTGCAAAACAGCTGCCTAGGACAGCAGCTGAGGTACACGGAGGCCACCCTGCATCTCAAGGTGGCAGCAGATCTTGGTGTTCTGTGTGGTGCTGGTTTTGCAGGAATGCAAGACCCAAGACTGCGTGGATTAAAGGAGTCTTCTACCAGTCCTGAGGAGGGTATAGCACGTGTTTCTAGAATTCATCTCCTGAATAGGCTGCGTGTGAAGCTGTGAGGTCAAGCCCACACTGTAATATGGACTTAGGTATCGAAGACATCAAAAATGTGGGATGTTCACCAAGGAAAGCGGCAGGTGGCAAGTTGGAGCTGGTCCAAGGAGAAGGTCATGAGTACCACAGGCAGAACTGGAGGGGCCGGGCTGCCCAAGACTGTAATAGCTCAAGTGGACCCCAGCTATAGCTCCAGGACTCTAGATGCCAGAGGTGGAACTTTAGGATTTGGTATTGGGATTTGGTCTTGCTTTGGTCCAGTCCTTCCTGCTGTGGCTGTGATATTGGATTTCCCAGTGTTCAGACTTGTAAGCCAAACAAACCTCTGCTTATTAAAAATTTCCCAGTCTGTGCTGTTCTATTAGTCTAGCAGAAAATGAGTGAAGACCATGGTATATGGCTATTAGGTTATTACAGGGAACAACACAGGAAGAATTTAACACCGTCTAGTTACACACATGTGAACAAGGTGTACACCCACCAGCAGGGAACATTCAGGGCCTCCTGCTAGCAACAGGGGAGGCATCACTACTTGGACACTGAAGAGAAAACACAAGACCAGCAGGAGCTTGTATGGAGAAACCCATCTGAAGAGTATGACAGACAACAAAATGACACCTCCAGGCCACAGAGGCTTCAGGGTGGGACTGAGGACACATGGCTTTCATTACGTCATTATATCACATGTCCAAACTCAGCTAGGGTGGTGGTGTGTGCCTGCAGGACAGGAGCCTAGGGGAAGACCGTAAAAGCTGGGCCTGGGGGACAAACAGTAGTGCCTAGGTGAGGGGGTTAAACATTCTAACTTTGACAGAAATTGTCTTGCCGCTGGCCTTTACGGCTGTACCAATTCACAGAGGTGTTTGCCCTCCACGCCCTCTCCACAGCATCCAAACCTTGGGTTTTATTTTTTATCAAATTTATAAATAAAAACCCTCTTTCCTTATATTAGTTTTTCTCTCTTATTCTGGGTGGGAGTTAGGTATCTTTCCACACATTTGAAGGCTACGTACCATTCTTTTCTGTCAACTCTTTCTTTCACTTCTATTGATGTTTTTCTCTTTTTGGCGGGGACTCTCTAAGTATGAGAACCTGACAATTCACTGTATGAATCACATCTTTTTTTCTCTTTCTAGAGAGTTCCCTGCCTGCTTTTGATTGCAAGTTCTGGCATGTGCATTCACGTGTGTGTGTGTGTGTGTGTGTGTGTGTGTGTGTACACGTGTGTATATGTGTGTGTACATCGTTTGGGAGCTCCTGGTGTTCATGCTTCCACATGGAAAGGTACAATTGTCCCTCCTTATCCGTGGATTCAGCCTTAGTGGATTTGACCAGTTGTGAATCAAAAATACCAGAAAAAGAATTGTCTGTATTGAATTGGTACAAACAATTGTTTTTCTTTTCATTATTCCCTAAACAATACAATGTAACTGCTTACATTTCATTTGAATTGTACTAGGTAGTACATGTAATTTAGACATGATTTTTTAAATTGATTTTATTGAGCTATACATTTTCTCTGCTCCACTCCCTGCCTCCCCACTCCCCTTCAAACCTCTCTCAGGGTCCCCATGCTCCCAATTTACTCATGAGATCTTGTTTTTTTTTTTCTACTTCTCATGTAGTTTAGACTCAAGTATGTCTCTTTTAGGGTCCTCATTGTTGTCTAGATTCCCTGAGATTGTGATTTGTAAGCCAGTTTTCTTTGTTTTATGTCTAAAAGCCACTGATCAGTGAGAACATATGATGTTTGTCTTTCTGGGTCTGGGTTACCTCACTCAATATGATATTTTCTAGCTCCATCCATTTGCCTGCAAATTTCAAGATGTAATTGTTTTTTTCTGCTGTGTAGTACTCCACTGTGTAAATGTACCACATTTTTCTTATCCATTCTTTAGTTGAGGGGCATTTAGGTTGTTTCCAGGTTCTGGCTGTGACAAACAATGCTGCTATAAACATAGTTGAGCACATGTCCTTGTGGCACAATTGAGTATCCTTTGGATATATACCCAAAAGTGATATTGCTGGGTCCTGAGAAGGCTGTTTCCTAATTTTCTGAGAAATCACCATACTGATATCCAAAGGGGCTGTACCAGCTTGCACTCCCACCAGCAATGGGAGAGTGTTCCCTTTCCCCCACAACCTCTCCAGCATAAGTTGTTATCAGTGTTTTTGATCTTGGCCATTCTTACAGGTGTAAGATGGAATCTCAGAGTTGTTTTGAGTTGCATTTCTCTGATGGCTAAGGATGTTGAGCATTTCCTTAAGTGTCTTTCAGCCATTTTAGATTCCTCTGTTGAGAGTTCTCTGTTTATGTCTGTACTCCATTTTTTTATTGGATTATTTTTTCTTTTGATGACCAAATTCTTGAGTTTTTTGTATATTTTGGAGATCAGCCCTCTGTCCGATGTGGGGTTGGTAAAGATCTTTCCCATTCTGTAGGCTCCCTTTTTGTCTTGTTGACCGTGTCCATTGCTTTACAGAAGCTTCTTAATTTCAGGAGGTCCCATTTATTAATTGTTGCTCTCAGTGTCTGTGCTACTGGGATTATACTTAGGAAGTATATATATTTATTAATTTCCTGTGTCAGTGTGTTCAAGTGTACTTCCCAGTTTCTCTTCTATGAGGTTCATGAGGTCTTTGATCCATTTGGACTTGAGTTTTATGCATGGCAATAGATATGGATCTATTTTCATTCTTCTACATGTTGATATCCAGTTATGCCAGCACCATTTGTTAAATACGCTTTCTTTTTTCCATTTTATAGTTTTTGCTTCTTTGTCAAAAATCAGGTGTTCGAAGATGTGTGGATTGATATCCGGGTCTTCTATTTAGTTCCATTGGTCCTCCTGTCTGTTTTTATGCCAGTACCAGGCCGTTTTCAGTACTGTAGCTCTGTAGTAGAGTTGAAGTCAGGGATTATGATGCTTTCAGAAAGTTCATTATTGTACAGGATTGTGTTGGCTTTCCTGGGTTTTTCGCTTTTCCATATGAAATTGAGTACTGGTCTTTTGAGGTCTGTGAAGAATTTTGCTGGGATTTTGATGGGCATTACATTGAATCTGTAGATTGCTTTCGGCAAG